TTCCGTAATAGAGTTCATACCGCCATGGGTAATGAACAAGTGTATTCTATCATCTCCTAGAAATAAAAAACGTCTTCGAAAACATTGAAAAGGAGTACCAAGAAGATCTGTCTGAGGAAGCCATGTTTTAGCAACTATATTCTCGTAAGAATTGAAGTCGAAGGAATTACTTGTGCAGTTCTCATACTTGACGATGAACGTTACATCTTTTAAACTAGAGAATGCTTCGGCAAAAACTTAAAAAAAATGCATGAGGTAATAAGTAATTTAGTATGTACTCACGCTTCTTGATTTGTATAGGCGACTCGCAAATTCTAACAAAAGTTCCTAAAGAGAAAAGAACGTTATACTTTCTTTCATTCAATAAATCGCTGAGTTCCTAATGAATAATTGTTTATCTACTTCAATCAAGTTGGTGTAACCTTTTTTAGTGGCTTCGTTGGATATAAATGACCACCACCTACAAACTGAATCATACTGGATATTGGTCGCGGAGTCTGAGTAAACTCATTTACATTAGCTAATATCATCCCGGACTTTTTCTGAATTCGAGTTCCTATAGCGAGATATTAAAAACAACGTACTAAGAAGAGTGTTCTTATATCTGTGTTCTTTGGAATATATTGTTCAAATACTTCCTGCACTTTGGCCTCCATCTTAACAGAAAATCGTCTCAGCTCATACGTTTTCTCCATGTTATCCACTCTTTCCCAGAAGCCCATTTGATCATCATAAATAGTAGCCCAGACTATTGAAAAGATCAGAAAAATATGGAAATATATTTGTCATACTCGGAACGAACGAAGTAAACGTTGGGATTCCAGTGATATCGTAAGTATAAGGAGCAACATCTCCTATAGCTGAAGCCAGAATAGTTTTTGATATCCCAAACGCCTGGATATTTGAAAGCTTTATGATCATTGTGATTCAAGCTCACCTCCATTAGTGCAACTGATCCAATTTCGTAGTACTCATGAATAGCAACGTCGAATTTAGAATTTTTCAATGAATCCATAAGAGTGCCATTGTTCAAAATTACTTAATAAGTATATTATTACAGCAAATTTCCTTAGTTGAAAACCTTTGTAAGCATCCATAAGAGAATCGAAAAACAGTTCGAACTCTTTAAGCTGGAACGGTTTTATTTCTTTATCTGACCATACATTTTGAATATTTGTGCTATAGATAAGATAAATCGGAAAGAACTAGTAGCTGTCTTACTGTATTTCCCTGTATAACTCAGGATCTGTGTTGACGGGTACATGAATTTTATGAACATTTCTTTCTTGTGTACCAAACGGATGTAGAAGAGGATCGATTTCCACAGAGAGTACAGTCTGTTACAGGTTTAAAATTGAAAATGAAAAACTTGAGCTACACTTACCACGTTATGACCGGCTCTTGATAATGTATCAGCCATGTTACCCAAAAATCGGATATGGCTTTGTCCGATTGTTGGATTGTGAATCAATATATTAGCTCCATCTGATAAATGTAGTGCGATTGAAAGTAAGATGAAAATCATTTACAAGTTGTGATAACCAGAAGCTTGCTTTAATGGTTAAATTGAACTTATATAGAAGTGATGACAATGAGAACAATTTTTTCCATTTTATACGAGCGAACGAGAGAGACGAAAAAAACGAGAAATGAATTGAACACACCTTAGGTGTTACCGACACTACAAGACTATTAATAAAAGGAACAAAACACAAAAATAATCACATTAGCCAACTTTTCAATAATCTATTCTAAAACAGTTGCCTATGGAAGGTTTTCAGAATATAGTGCACACAAAATAATGATGTGAACTATTATTTTAAAAATTGAAACTCTATCATTCATAACATCTTTTCAGGCTCCAAGTATTGTGTCACTTTGTACAATTTTGTGTTCTAAAAGAAAAAAGCATAAAGTGTTCTTTCAAACAGATGATCTATTTCTGAAGAAATATGCGGCATTTTAGCAGAAACATCTCTATTCTAAACCAAAAATGATTACAAACAATCAGCTCACCCATCAATCTATTTCATCCTGATCTTTATAAGAACTTTTTAGATTTCAATTAAAATGTCAAAAATCATTGAATTTAACTGCAAAATGCTATATCAACTTTTACTCGTTCTGTGAAAGGTTCATCAACATATACTGACGGAAACTTGAGAGAAAAAATTACCTCTGTAGTAAATTGATACTTTTTGAGTAGAACTTAAAGAAATCACTCTTCTTTATATGGATTTTCATTTTCTACTTGTATTGATCATATAACTCATACATATAGGGTATATAGATATATATAATTATTGGCAAGCATCTTTCAAAACAATTCCTAGCAACTCCATGCGATGAATGAACTCGTGTACATGAATTTCACGTGAACGGTATCAACCAATGAATCATTTTTGAAGAATCATCTGTACGAGCGGTTGCATTGCATTTAAATGAAAACCACCCATTAAAGTATCTTCATAATTCGCGTTTTTATCGTTTTTGTTCTTGGAATTCATACATCATGAAAGTATATCGTTCTGTTCCACCAGCAATCAATATGCGCAATATTGCACAACATTGCGCAACCCTCTAACAGTACCACTATGATATGAGTAAAGCACAAACTATCTTGATAGACAAACCAAAAACGTTTTTTTTGCATAAGTGAAATTAGAATTTTCATCTGAGTTTATTATTTTGTGGAACATCACAAGATGCTTCCAATTCTCTTTTTACTATTTTTTACTGTGAAACAGTCGCTTGGAGCGAACATTCTCGTCTATAACCCTATGTATGGCCAAAGTCACATAAACTTGCTTGGTAATATCGCCGATATTTTAACGAAAGCTGGTCATAATGTAGTAAGTGATTGAAACTTTTTTTTATACGCTTCGCATTGTTTTCTACGTTTGAATCAACTCAGACTGTCTTCTCTGCCGAAATAACACCTGATCTCAAGCCATTTGGAACAACTGAAGACAAAGTACACAAAGTTGCTCTAGGGATGGATAATGAGAAAATTAATAATAAGGAAGTTTTGTAGGAAGTTTCGATCTACTAGAATAACTCTATATTTCTTCAAGAACAACCATTTCAAAAATCTGGGATAACAAAGACTTAATTGCTTTCCAGCCAACGGATTTAGAAGCATTCTACAATTGTGTTTTGGAAAGCCATAAAGGTTGAAGTTGAATGAAATTTATTCCTACAAACAACTTTGCAGCTCTTCTCAAAAATGAAAAACTCATTCAATCCTTGCAAAACTCGAACTTTGATGTCGCGATACATGAGTTTTACGACATTGGTGCATCAGCAATTATGGAGGCTAGAATCAGTCAACATATCCCATAATGATCTCTAAACATTTCAGCTATTCCACGTGAAAAAAGTGGTATTGGTATCTGCTATAGGAGACATTCTTCCTTACACTTTCGAAGTTACAGGGATTCCTCATTTCAAGTCTTTTGTTCCAGGTATAGCTCTGACCGTCATGTCCTACTAGCAACCTTTTCAGCATGGTTAACAGTATTTGGAGATCAATTGAATATGTGGGAAAGATTCCAAACTTTGCAGACGGTTTACTCCGTTGAACGCATTGTTCGTGCTAATGAACGAAAAGTAGCTGAACTCTTCCGTGAGTACCATGAAGATTTTCCAGACCCCAAAGAATTGCTTCTAGTAATACATGTTTCATTCTCATTATAATCAAGCTATTTCTCAGAGGAAATCGGGAGTTATATTGGCCAACATCAATGAGTTCACGCAAACTCCTCGGCCATTGTCCAGTATGATTCAATTCATAGGTGGTAGTAACTTATATTCACCCAAGCCATTAGATGAGGTGAGCTCAATTATAGTACCCGAATCTCATCATTTATTTGGAGAATCTCGATCAATTGCTTAACAAAAGAAAATACAATGTGTTTTTTTCCCTCGGAAGTTATGTTCGACTTAGCGAAGCTCCGCTCAGAATCAAGCAGCGTTCGAAGATTTATATTAAAACTTTGTACCACAATTAAAATTCAGTTTTTGCCGAAGCCTTCAGCAGCATGAAAGATGTGACATTCCTCGTTAAGAATGAAAACGATGACTTTGATTTTAATGTGTATGGCAATATAATGACGAAAGCATGGTTTCCTCAGAAAGATTTGTTAGGTAGTTCCTTCTTTTAAGTCGAAAAGCAAGGTTTTATTTTTCAGGAGATGATAGAATACACTTGTTCATTACCCATGGCGGTATGAACTCTATTACGGAAGGACAGTACAGAGGGAAACCTATGATTTCCATACC